CGTTTAGACTGTTTAGAGGATTCAGAACTAAGTACCAGGCCGAGTAAGTTACCCAGATGATTAAACTTGTGATTTTGTTGTTTATTTATTCTCAGTTTATTGCTGTTTGTTAAAAACAGTAAAAAAGTGTCGAAGAAAAAAAGCGAAAAAATTGATTGACTTGGTATGTTTCGGAGGCTTAAGGGAAGAATAGTTTTCTGTACAGCTCAGTGACACAGATTTGATACCGGCCAATAAGATTTATCTTTTGCTGCTCATTTACAGTTCTGATAGATATGAGGACAATTTTTTTTTTGCTATAACTTACAATCTCGTTTATTTGTTCGTCTAATAGAATTATCTGTACGATCTGTTATTTGTTTTTGCTACGACCAAAGAAAAAAAAACATTTTTTTTTTTCAAAATCAAAAATGAAAACGAAATCAAAATTTGAGCGCTAACAATTATTGGTACTCAATTTTTAAAAGCTTAAGGTTGCTACTTTTGGCGATTGTTTAATAATGCTTAATTTTAGTAATTATCAACGATAAAGTTATGCAAAAATTATTCTCAACAACTTTTTTTTTGGTAGAAAAAAGTGACTCTTTTAAACAGTATGTCATCAAGTAATGTCCGTTCATCTTTTGTTTACTGTTATCTACAGGTAGTCAGTTAAAAATTGTATTACATTTTGAAACAATTATGATAATTTGCAAAAAAAGATTATCTAAGAAAAAAATTGAAAAAACATTGCAAAAAATTTAACCAATTACTTAAGTTTTTGCTATGATTTCAGTTGACTGTCTTCCAGCTTTCAAAGTACAATATAAAATTTGCTAACTGAATTATTTGATAAAAATAAAGCTTCTTTTTTTTTCGTTTAAACATTTTTAATACAAAAAAGAATTGTATGTTTATATATTTCATAAGACTGTTTAAAAGCTAATATTAAGTGGCCAGTCTATAACAAGAGACGTATTCGAAAGAAGTTTGGCGACAAAACTGTTTCTGTCACCACCGTTGCTCCACAAACAAATTGACTAAACAGTTATCCAAACATCTTTTTATGCAAATTAATTTTAGTGGTAAATTAGCGATAAGGAGAAGCAAAAGATGACACAGATAAACAACTCAAAACTGATAAAGTTTTAATTTCTGCTGTTGCAACTATCATTAGCAGTAATCTGTTCACCGGGAAACAACTAAACGTTAGCAGAAATTTAGTAAAAAAAAAAAGAAAAAAACTTAGTTTCAGTGTAAAATGCTAAACATTAAACAATGGTAATCTTTAAAATGATTAATTGAACTGATGGTGTTGTTTGTTTAGTCTGTTTTATCCAAATCCATTAGTCTTCTCTCAGTTTCTTCAGCCTTCTTGACCATCAAAAAATACTGTGCCTTGGAATGTTTCTGCCACATTTCTGTTTTCCCATGTTTTAGCTTTGTGCTAAGGTTATAGGTTAAGGTTAAGCTTTTCTGCTGTACTTCAGAGATGTGTTATCTTTTCTTTATCTATACAATTTATCACTGAACAATTTGTTAACCAAATTAGCAACTGTCTTTATCTTCAGCTTTTTTTTTAGCGTTTAACAACATTTAAATTGTGCTATTCACTTTAGACTAACGAAGAAATAAAAAAATAAAAAGAAAAAAAATGCAACAGAAGAATGTCAAAATGTAGATTTTATTTAAAAATTACAGTTGAAACCAAATACATTTTAACTTCAAAAAAAAAAAACAATTTGCCGTGCCAGACAACATCAAGCAACTGTGACTTGATGTCAACATTTTTGAACTGTAGGCACTGATGAATATGCTGTTTTCTTTTTTTCGCAACCAATCCAGTCTCTTAAGTGGACCTTTTAAAGCCACTAATTATTAAACTTTCTAAAAAAATCTATCAAAAAATTAACATAAAAATTATTAAGTATTAATAAATTCTGTAAGTTAAGCATTACTTTGATTACTTAAATTCTTACCGCTTTTTTTCTACCGTTTTGAAACTCCGTATTGCATAACTCAAATGAAAGCAGAAGCGAAGTATCTGAGAAATGTAAAATAACGCTAAGTCATTCCATTTCAAGTCGCACAATTTTTTTACATCTCAAGACTTTTTCAAAATCACGTTTACTTATATATTTTAACTTCAAATTTGCAAAAAAATCATTTTACTAATTTATTTCGCGTAAAAATAGCAACACTTTCTGAAAAAAAATTTT